GCAAGGTTTTTCTGTTACATTTTTGTGTGAATAATGAAGAATGGAGGAAATTATTCCCATACTTATGAGAAATATGGGTTTGGAGCCTACAAGAAATTCTTTGGGCTGTTGAAACTGAGGAGGCATTGTTGATAGACTTCTCCACTGGATTACCAATTTTCCTTTTGGTCTGAAATACGTGCAGTTCAGGCAGATGCGAATGAAAGCTTACTCCAAGTGATCTTTAATAGGCTGGTTTCTAGCATGCCTTCGATCATATCACTCTGTACTATCAGTAAACGTTTTGGTTTTTGTTATGGATGTTTCGTGGCCATTTCTTTCATCTTCTTTCCACTAAAACTCAGTCATGATTATCTTTCTTAATTTCTGGGAAGCAAAAATCTCCAATGTGATGACTTTTATGTCTTTCCAACATCCCTATGTAGAAACCTTCTCCTGTATTACCTTGCTCTGTTGATGAGAATTCCATCATGCTTTTCGAAGAGATATCTACAAAATATAATGACCAATAGGTTTCCAATTGAGTACAGATGGTAAATAATATTGAAATGTGTAAATATTACACAAAAATACTTATTTTAAACTTCCCAAACATGATCTTTAAAGTTTAAGAATACAAAAGGAGTACAATTCTTAAAGAATGGGCGTGATCTGACTGCACAACCCCCTCTGACTTTCAGTGTTCCACATTCCCCGGTCAGAGCCTCCTCGGCTTCTTTTTTTCCCTCTCTCCCCTCTTCCCCCGCCACAGCTGCCTCCATTTCCTTAAGGAAGAGTTTTTTTCTCTTTTCCTCCCCCACACCATAGTGGCGTGTGAACAGGCCAGGCAGGCGGCTGAGTTTTCCAAGCGATAACTTCACCAAGATGTCCAGTGATAGGCAAAGGTCTGATGGTGACAGCCCCAGCATCAGCAGTGGCAGATGTGGACAAGCAAGACCCAGCCGCTCCAGAGGCTGAAGAACATGAGGAAAGAAAACCTTCTGCCACCCAGCAGAAGAAAAACACCAAACTCTCTAGCAAAACCACTGCTAAGTTATCCACTAGTGCTAAAAGAATTCAGAAGGAGCTAGCTCAAATAACCCTTGATCCTTCTCCTAATTGCAGTGCTGGGCCTGAGGAGATAACATTTATGAATGGAGATCAACTATACTTGGTCCACCGGGTTCTGTATATGAAGGTGGTGTGTTTTTTCTGGATATCACATTTTCATCAGATTATCCATTTAAGCCACCAAAGGTTACTTTCCACATCAGAATCTATCACTGCAACATCAACAGTCAGGGAGTCATCTGTCTGGACATCCTTAAAGACAACTGGAGTCCCGCTTTGACTATTTCAAAGGTTTTGCTGTCCATTTGTTCCCTTTTGACAGATTGCAACCCTGCAGATCCTCGGGTGGAAGCATAGCCACTCCGTATTTGACCAACAGCACAGAACACGACAGGATAGCCAGACAGCGGACCAAGAGATACACAACATAATTCACATAATTTGTATGCAGTGTGAAGGAGCAGAAGGCATCTTCTCACTGTGCTGCAAAGCTTTATAGCCTTTACGATATGAACTTCTGTGTATATGTTACAGTGATTCTACTCTGCTTTTATCCTTTGGAGTCTGGGAGACTGCCCAAAAAGGTAAATGCGATCAAGAGTAGAACTTTGCAGCTGTAGATTAGTTATATTTAAAATGCCTACTTGCAAGTCTTGCTTCTCTGGGATATCAAAATGTATTTTGTGATGTACTAAGGATACTGGTCCTGAAGTCTACCAAATATTATAGTGCATTTTAGCCTCATTCATTATCTGCATGAAGTGATAAAAGTAGCTGTAGATGACTAGGAATTATGTCATTTGTATTAAACTCAGATCTATTTCTGAGTATGTGGTTCATGCTGTTGTGAAAAGTGTTTTACCTTTTACCTTTGTCTGTTTGTAATAAGAGGATTTCCTTTTACCCTTTGTAGCTCAGACAGCACCTGATGTATCATCTCAAACACAATAAACATACTCCTGAAGGAGGAAAAAAAAAAAAAGAAAAAGAAAGAAAGGGCATGATCTCGACTCAGCACAACCTCCACCCCCAGGTTCCAGCGATTCTCGTGCCTCAGCCTCACAAGCAGCTAGGACTATAGGCGTGCACCACCACACCTGGCTAATTTTTGTAGTTTTAGTAGAGAGGGGGTTTCACCATGCTGGCCAGGCTGGTCTCGAACTCCTGGCCCCAAGTGATCCACCCACCTCAGCCTCCCAAAGTGCTGGGATTACAAACATGAGCAACCATGATGAGTCAGAGATGTGTGTTCTGAAAACAAAGCCAGATAGAGATTGCTGCCTAGTTCTGTGCATGGTCCTATTAGTGAAGAAAAACAATAATGTGCTAAATATGAATAGCAGTGCCATATAAAAATTTGAGGGTAAATCTTGTTTCTCATATAAAAGTAATGGTGTCTCTTTTGCTGATTCCTACATGATTTGAAATACATCCCTGGACCTCTAAACACAGTCTGTGGAATAAATAAGACATAAAAAGTAAAGCCAGCAAGTTGACAGACTAGCAAATGCTAGGCCCTCATATCCTCATAGAGA